CTGAAAGAGTGACCGCTGGCCTGTAAATGAGTGAAAACTGCAGAGTTCTGGCCATTAGATGTAGCTCGTCTGTGTTGGGACATTCTTTTGAACAGGGGCTGCTTTGTTTCCCCGATGTTGATGATGAATTTTGCCTGAAACTCTCAGACTGAAGMAGTCTCTTGGAGGAGAGACGAAACATTTCATTAGAGAAGAACCCGTCCAGAAGACCTATACAAATTTTTTCTTTTTAATAAAACTGCTGCTTCACATTGAAACTGAGTGTAACATTATGGGTCACTGATGGTGGTCAACAAAAACCATCAACACCAGAAACTCCAACAGTGTTGTAGAGAGACGTGATTAGAAACTGGAACAAGAAAAAATTCAACATCTATTTTTTTATTTATTTTTTGTCTTTAAAGTGATAATTTGATGGAGCTGCTGTCAGTTGCTTATTATGGTTTCCATGCTAACCGCACACATGTCTCTCACTCACTAAAAAATACAGGCAGACAGAAACGCAGAGTTGAAAGTAAACCTCAGACAAACAGTCTGTGTGAAAACTGGAAGTCTTGAATCATGTTGTGTTTTGGTTCTACCTTGTGGCAGAAGTGTTAGTAAGTAAGTAAGCTGTTAGTTATTTTGTCTACAATGTTTTATGCTGGAGGGATGACAAGATCCTTCACTTCAGAAAGTTCTGAGCTCAGATAAAGTCAATGAGAGTTTGGTGCATGCTCTGCACAGAGCTGGAGTGTAGGAGCTATTATCTTTTTTATATTTGAAATTATTTAACTTCTTTAGGATTAATTTTTTGTTTATGTTAGCATTAATTGTATTCCTGTTGTATTGATGTAATAAAGACGATTAAAGACTGTGGGAACCCATAACGATGTTATCGGTATAGGACCAGGGGTGGAAATTAAAAATTTTCCCCACCAGCCACAGTGGCTGGTAGAACAAGATTTGTACCCGCCACTCAAACTTTTTACCAGCCGCTATTAGGGCTGCCACAAACGATTATTTTAATAATCGATTAATCATCGATTAATCGATTAATCGTTGCAGCCCTAGCCGCTATATATTTTTTTGTTTGTTTGTTTCTGTAACACGATGGCATTTAGACAATTCATGGTCCTTGGTGGTTTTATTAAATTGTTTGTGCCTACAATCAGATAATGGCACTCAAAATCTATTCGTTTCTTAGAGTATTCAAGCCAGCCTGTTTGACAAAATTAAAATGATGGACTTTTGGACGTCTCTACTTCTCTTCCTAACTTGCTTTGTTGGTATGTAGGTGGAACACCAGTTATTTTAGGTGGGCTACTTGGCTGGGAAAAAAAAGGCTTATTAACTTTAATAATACAGTAGAAATTTTCAAGGTGAAAAAAACTAAATTACCTGAGGTAAATTTATCTCCTTCATTTAATAAAATCAGCCTTTGTCTTTTATCGCTTGTAGTTTTTGTTCTACAGGCTCCTAGTATGAATATGTGTCTTTCTTCTGTTCTCAGTGAGATTTCAATAACAGATGGAAATCCCTCTGATGATCCATTGTCTCACAGTGGATCATTTCTATTTTTACTTATAAAAAAGTTCATGTCACAAGGTTCATTTTGTTACTTAGTTTCCTGGGTTTTTGTTTTGTTCTGCATCAAAAAGTAGCCTGCAGAGAAAAGTTAAGGGGAAAAAAGGAGCAGATTTATTTATTTATGCATTTATTTATTTTTTTATTCTTTTTTTGGGCGCTGTCAGCTGATCTTCTGACGTTTCCTAGAGGTTAAAAAACAGTTTCCTTAAGTTTCCTTTGGTCAATCAAAGTGATCAGGGTTATTAAGTTAAAATATTTAACAACTAATATGAAGTTTTTTTTAAATAACATTTATGTAATATTCACACATCGGCAGTTAGAAACAGTGTTTTTAATCAGCTGATTTCAGGTTTTTGCTCTTGATGCCAGCCTACAGTTCAGCTTTGCTGTTTGCTGACAGATGAAACAAAACTGACTGCCTTGTTAAATTCACCTTTGTTAGTTTTTTCCCTTTACATTTATTGTTAAATAAACTTTAACAACTTTCAGTTCTTCCTTTGGTTCCTCTTGAGAAAGGGTTTTGTTACCTGCAGCCTGCTTAGCTCCAGATATGTAAAACCACGTTAAAGTTGGTGTTTTAATTTTCTCCTTCTGATAATCTGATGTTTAATGAGCATCTTAATCTACTTGTGTGCACTGGGGGGGCAGGCGGACCACACAGATGACAGCGCGTGGGAAAGGAGGGGAGAACTTATTTCTAGTTGCAGAGCAGGTTGGAAGAATGTTTTTTTTTTTATGTTATTAAATGTTTTTTAATGTCCTGCAGGCTCCGAAATGCAAAATAAAAACCAAACTGAACTTTTGAAAAAGATCAGTAGCGCGATTTGAACGCATTTTTTATTTTTTTAGTTTGTAACCGTTGTACAGATCTACACGCCACTTCATAATTTTACCCGCATTTGGCCAGTGTCTGGTGCTAATTTCCATCCCTGTACAGGACCAGCATGCAGTGGAGTGGGTTGATGTTTTTTTGTTTGTTTTTTTAGAGCGGTAGGAGTGGTAGGAAGCACAAATGTTTGTTTGTTTGTTTGTTGCTTAGTAAATTGGATTAAACCTGAAGGAAATCATTTGATTTGGACAATGGACTTCTTTTTGCATTCATAAAAACAACCCCACTGCAGTGGTGGTCGTTAGGACTTTTAAATAAATTGAATTCAAAATAAGTCATCACTACAGTAAGTATTCAGTCTTTGTCATGTGTATAGCTGAGAGTATATATAAATTATTTAGTAGTCAGCACTTAGTGAGTATTTGACTTGTTATGAAGGATGTAATGAAATTCTGTGATTTAATTACTTTGATAGAAGCTGCTGTGAGAATGAAACCACACCTGAGAATGAAACCACACCTGAGAATGAAACCACACACCTTGGCTGAACAAGTCCAGTCTGGTTAGGGAGTAGGGTTGGGCGATATTGGCAAAAAAATTAATCACGATTAATTGTGGTGTTTAGCCGATAACGATTAATATGACAATTAATCCCCTGGAGTCCCTGGACACCCTTATGTCCTGGTCACACGACCAATTTAGTGGGAAAGATTTGCTCTTCGTAAAAATCTTTTTCAAACTGTGTCAAAACCACAGACTTCAGGCTATATTTCAAATTTTAAATTGTGTTGATAAATAAATTACAGAACTTTTGTTTAAATGTTCATCATATTTGAAGCGGAGAGGAGCACCGAGCGGACTGACCAGGGAACTATCCAGTCAGTCTGCCTGCTGGCATTAATCGTATTAATCATCAAGCGCTAAAAACTAATTGATTAATGTTTTTCTGATGATTAATTGCAGACGATACGATTATGCCCAACCCTATTAGGGAGCGCAATGAAGTTTGCTTGGTCTTAGTCTTGAAAGACTTAATGTTTCTGATAGAGTTTTATTGGATTTATTAAACTTCTTAAGGTGTTTCAAATAAAGTCTTGAGGTACGTGACAAATTTATTATTCATCATGGCGTGTCCACAGACTGTTTTAAGCAGAGCTAGTAAGACAAAACACCTCTGTGTTGTTTTTTACTATTATTCACATATTAAACCCCAGCAACAAGTGTTTTGATTGGTTCCTATGCCTATGACAAACCACATAACTGATTTCTGATTTGTTGTAACATTGTGTGACCTCATTCCTACTGTCTGAATAAAACGACTGTTCACGCCCCCAGAGGKCAGAATTTCTCTGATCTTCACCAGGCTTTCGTCTGAGTTAAGTATCACTGAACTTCTCCTCTTTGCAAAGTGAATCTATAAATCTTACTGGTCTCTGGTGTCATTGATTAATGTTTGGCCGGGCTTGTTGTGATTTCTCTGARTTCCTAGGTTAAAAAACCGAACAGTTTCTCTTAACATCTTGAACTTAATCTCAAAATTGAGACCGTAATCCTGATGTTTAGACTTTAATAAAACTTAGGTTTAGTTGGGGGTAGGAATAGAGTTACCCTAATTTCATTTGAGACTTAATACTCGAGCGTACTGACCGCCTGACAGATTAATTTCTCACAATTTCAGTCATGGCGTGAAGGACGAGGAGGAAGAGAAAAACTTTTAATCTTTATTTTAGCTTTAAAACAGCAAAAGAAAACTTTACCCAGGATCTGAGCTATTTTCTCCCATTAATTTGTTGTTCGTGGAAAGTCTTTAGATTCCTTAATTGACGTATCATAAAATTTATGTTTTCTAATCTCCTCCATGAGACGCTCTTCAAATTTTGACTCCGTTTCGTCCATAAACGACACTGATTCTCAACTTTATAATCTTTGTGTCGCATCCAAAACAGTTTGACGTGAACTCGCCGGGCAGCTTATTGAGCGGACTGCAGATGTAAAAAATTGACCTCTGTGCACACCAGGCTGGTGGACGGACGCTTCGAGTCCACATTGAGTCTAACCCTAACCGCGTGGACCTCCGCAGAGCAAAGTACGCCAGAGTATGTGGGGGCCTTTAGTGGGCCATCCCACTCAAAGTTGAACATTCTGTGGTAAAAGTTCTAAGGACTATAATACTTAAAGGGCCAATATCATGTAAAATCAAATTTTTTGAGTTTTATATCATGTTATAATGTTATACTCTCATTAAAAACATGCCCAAAGCCTTGCTCTGATTC